TAACCCTTCTTGCGTTTATGGGGAGTATTAATATAGGTTCCTTACAAAATTTTGTTCGTTTTGTTTTCTGGATTGGGATGCTTTCATTTTTACTTATCCTCTGTTTTAGTTGTTAGAAAGCAAGACTTCTTTAAACATGCAGTCAGGGTAAGGAATACATAGAAGAAGAGACAAGGTCCTAATCCTTTATTTTGACACCACGTTGTACTTGATTACTGTGAAAAGATTCATGTCATAAAACAAACAATTAAAGACTTCGGGTAGAAAAAGTCTTTTTTCTTTGAAGGAGACGGACTTTTCAGAACTGTGATATCATCCTCATGTAGTTGAAGACATTTCAAAAACAAGGAGCAAAAGACAAACATATGCAAGCAAAAAATTGGAAGGTTTTAATTCATATACTTTCCAGTATTCTATAAAATGTAATTAATCAGTCTTTAAGAATTCTTGATTATGCAATTAATTATCTTTAATACTTATATACAATTTGTAATTATTTTCATGCATATAAACTCAGTATTCAGTCTTTAAAGTAATCTCAAAAAATAATGCATTCCTTCCGGTAACTTCCTCATCTCTGATTTTTTTTCAGGTTGAGGGACTCTGCATTAAATTTCCTTTGTGTTCATGACAAACCCACGTAAACCATGCTGCCACAGAACTGCAGCAATTTTCACCATAATTCCACATTCTCGTTATTCCAGAAAAACGCAGTACTGCTGTATCTCCACTTACTTTTTTTTTTTCCTGCTCTGTCCCACTTTCATCACATAAGCGTATGATTACACAATAAACCAGCTGAAAACCAAAACATTTTTTGATGTATTTATTTTTAGGCAGATCCATTCACCAGTTTAATTCATAACATTGCTACTTTCTGGAAAAGAAAGGGATCGGCTATGTTCTTTACAGTTACAGAGCCAAGTTGTTCCAGATTCAACAGAATATGAAACAAAGGTGTTTGTTGTCATGGATTATAATTATGAGAACAAGGAAGGGTGGTTTTTTTTAAGACCTTGTCTGTTGAGGGGAAAAAAAACTAAATAAATCAAAACCCAACAATATTTTATGAGGAAATCACTTTTTAAAAGAATAAAAAGTTAAAGGAATTATTAAAGGATTATTAAAGGATATTTAACTTGACCTTACACTTAACTGTTGGTGTGATTTCAAATTAAAAAAATCTTTCTCACATTGATGGCATCACTAATCTCACTCAATATAATGAAAAGCATAGCCTTAAAATCAAAGTCTAAATTAATCAGTGATATATATCTTGGTGACTGATTAGTAATAATAAAAATAGCAAGGAAAAAGCTGAACCTTTGTGTTACTCAAGTAGCAAGGTGTGGAAGATGCAGGCTCATGAACTATATGACAAAGTACAGCAGTTTGGACACAGATTCCAGGAAATCCCTTTACAAAATCATTAGTGCTTTGGATCGCATCTAAATTTGTGCATTTGTTTTAGAGATTCAATTCTGTTCTCTGTAGAACCACTGTAACGGGTAACTATCAATTAATATAGTTTAATTTTTTAGTAACTGCAGAGATAAGACTAAATCCTGTGCTGAGTAGCACTAATTGTACTTTATGGTGCTAAAGTATTAAATATGCTATCAAAAACTATCACAAAAGACCTTTAATATGCAAACATCTTTTTTAAAGGTATGTTTTAAAACATATTCAAGTTAACCACTAGCTATTTTGAATTTACAGGTGATACTGGACATTGCCAACAGATGACTAGGTTAATTACCAGCACCTGAAAAAAGGGAAATTATCTATTTTTAAAGAAGATCCTGAATTCCAAAATTTTCAAAAAATGTGGCTGTTTCTAGAAACGGATGGACTCTCGGCAAGGAATTTGCAGCATAAACTCTTTGGATGCAGTATAGGTATGCAGTAATAATGCTAGGTGTAAAGACAAATGTGTAGGGAGAAAGGAACGCTCACCTGTCCTTCCAATCAAATTTGAAAGAAAGTGAAATATGCTTCTATATTTCAATGTTACTGTAACTGTAGTACGACAAAATAAGTATAATGCCATATTCCTGGAATTTGGCAACTTGCTTCTAAATAAATTATTTCTGTTTTATGTAGGCAGGGATTACCAAGGCTAGAAGTTTGGCAGACTAGACCTTGCCTGAGCATTCCCTGAATTTGAGGACTTCTTTGTGCAAAGAAACCGACTGGCATTACTTCTGCGGGAAAGGTGTTTTGTGAGGCAGTAGCTATTTCGGAAGGGTAACTGCACTGTTGACACTGGCCTGTGATGACCGTTTCTCAGTGCAGGCAATCCATAAATAATGCTTATGTTGCAACGTGAAGATAATTTTCTGTGAATTTTTACATTCTTTTTGTGGCATTAATTTGGATATCAGTTTTTTTAATGGAGAAAGGGCAATAATGCTAAGATGTTATGTATGAAAAACAGCTCTTAAGTAAAAAAGTGTTCACACTTGCAGTGCATATTTAAACTGACTTTAAATATGAAAAGACATAGTGAAGGAGAAAATATATGCCAGTGTATTACATGTCTTGATTCTCCACGCACACGTTACTGAGTTTGTCTATTTCATAAACAAAGAGGTGAGGCAGTCATTTATTCTCTAATAAATAATAATTTGAGATGTCAGTGAAATTGTACACATAACTAAGGCAAAAAGAAAGGTTTGGGCCTAACTTAAAATACTTTCTATATAATAAAAAACCTGTTTGTGAACAGTGACTGTACCACAAACAGCTGCATAGATTAAAGTGAACACAATGATTTTTAATTTTTAAAAAAATAAAAACAGTGTTATTTTGCAGGGTATTTTACAAATTACTTCAGTGTTGAAACTAGAGGAATGAGTAAGGGTTTAATATGCCATTACGCAGTATAAAATGTACCGTTATGCACTATAAAATGATGAGGAAAATAATCCTCAAGTCATTATTTGGAGAGCAAACTATGATGTGGGATTAGGAAAAGCACTGCAAATAGCAGTATCAAATTCAGACAGGGACAAACACGGGGAAAGGAATAAAAAGCAACTGAACCTGAAGGAGCTGGCATGAGAGATGATTTCCGTTTTTCTTTTCCAAGAACTACTCATTTAAACAGAGGAAGTGTTATCTTAGAATTGAGTAGATGGGGTGGGTGAGGATGCTCCAAAAGCCAATACAGTATCCATATCTGGTGGAAAATCCAGAAAAATATGTTCTTCCTCTGCAAAACAGCACGTGGTAGTTTACTTACAATATTTTTGTGGTAATAATAGAAAGTTGACAGATTATTTTATATGACGTCTCTGCAGAGGGAAAGACTTGAATGCAAGTAGAGAAAGACGTTTGTGCTTGTAGAAGGTAACTCTTGGTTCCCTTGTTTTTGAGGATGGACTTTAACAAGTTATAGTGCCATGCCATTTCTGCCTAAGTGAAGATTTCAGCCATGGTTCTTTTTAGGAAAAAGCTCTGGCTTTCCACAGCCTTTAAAGAGCATTGGCAAAATCTGCAGAACAAATAGTTTAGGTTTCTTTTAATATCCGTGTTGTGACCTTAAAGGGCACAGTCCTTAAGTGTTTTATCAAGAGTGCAATGCCTACTTCGTGCTACAGCCAATTTTGAGACAATGTTTTCTGGACAAAAATAATGGGCAAGAAGAAGTGTTTTGAGTAACAAATAACTTTTTTTATTTTATTACCTGATTCTTGAAACTGCGTGTATTTTTCCTTATCTTACTTCCTTCTAGAGGATAGCGAACAGAAGATTCTGAAGAAGGTTTTTATATTACTTCAGAAATTCTTGTTAACCATGTAATAGAGAAGTTGCTGCTACCCAGCTTTTTTAAAAAACCTGAATTATTGAAAAATGAGTTTAACTACTTTAACACACGCTGCTGTTAATGAAGCTGCCATTTTCCAAGCCTAAAACACTTTGCTTTTCGTGCTGTTTGTTGTCATTGCCAAGGCATGAGGGATTTTGAGATGGGAGAAAATGTTTTATTAACCAACATCAGGGTAATCAGATTAATATCTGGTGTCTTACTTTTAGTATGCATGTATGAACTGATGGTGGATAGGATCAGTAAATAATGGAGCTTAAGACAGTGCATATTTTCAAAAGACAGTAGAAGAAAATCTTACAGGCATCAGTCCCTTTGATTCAGGACTTGTAATATCAATGTAATGTGTTAGGTTGAATGACTAGTGATCTGGTGTTAAAAAGTACGTATCGTGCCTAAAACATTAGATACATTTTGGGAAAATCATAATTATCGGAAATATATTTTCATACGAATTATGCCAGCAGGAGGTATATGTTAAAAACAGTGATACAATGTCAGCTAGTTTTATTTCTGATTGGCGTGTTTGAAGGATGAAAGGATGAGGCTTAGGAACCCCTTAAAGTTACAAATACCGGTGAAATAAGAAAGTCATTTGGACACATACCTTATTGCAAAACTTGTGCTACTAATGCGCCATGTGCAGGCCTAGTAAAAAGTTAATTATGTGCCAAAGATCACGAACTTATTTGTACATACTCCGAAATTTTTTTTGTTAGGAAGGTACACTCTGGAAGAACATTATAAAACTTCCCTGTTTTTACAGATAAACTTTAAAACTTTGCAAGCTGGAAGGATCTTTGCCAAGCAGAGCGACCAGTGATCCCACAGCTTTATTTGTACCCCACAGCCTGGTTCCAAAAGAAAATGGGAGAGTGGAGTCATGAAAGCTGCAGTGGTATTAAATAAGAAACAAGAATTTAGGTTCAGACTAAAAGCTGGGGAGATGGAGGGACTTGAGACCTAAACCAGAGAAATGCCTTTTTCCAACTGGAAAAATAGTTCATCTACTAATAAATCCCATAGAGGAACAGAATGCCAGAACTAAGAGGCAGCTGTGCAGCACTGAGGTTGATTAATTACGGGAAATTTCCATATCACCAGCTTTTCTAGATGGGATTAGACCAAGTATTGAGAGAAACCATATTGCAGGCAGAGTGACTGGGGACCCATGCTCATACACCACGTTCTTCTAGGACGTGTTGGAATTGAGGTAAGGAATACAGAAAGAGCCAGTAAATAATGTTGTTCTTAACTATGATCTGGAATTGTTTAGTGTGTTTTTCTGTATTTGAAACCAAAAATGCAGACACGATCTTGTACACAGAAGCTTGAATTATGTCTTGCTGAAATAAGCTTTTGGTGCAAGGGTGAGAGGAGCCTGGTAGGAGGCCATAAGTGTGTATTGTGCCTTCTTGGATGCACTGATTCCAAAGAAAGCTATCGCTACTATCTTTATTTAGGACAGGCACCTCAGGACCTCTAAGAGAAAAAAGAAAGAGGAGAGTGCTACTGAAGAAGTTTCTAAGAGCTTATATGAGGTCTGGCATCCCTTCTTACTGAGGTTTGGTCAAATGATCTACAGTAGCAGACTCATGTCACTGTCCTTTCTGCAAGCAGTAGGCTGCTGAAAAGCCTCATTTGGTTTTGGTAGATAAAAGTGTTATTGTAGAATTAAGTGGCATTTGATAAATTAAGTACAGCATACCAAGTTCCCTCTTCAATTGTCCTGTGATTTTCTTGCTCTTTCTTGTTACAGTTCCCGTTTCTGAAGTTTGCTTAGCTGTGACAGTGTTCTCTAACATATTTGGAGTGCAGTTTTGCTGTGACCTACTCTCTCCTTAAGACACTCTTTTTAGAGGAAATATTTTGAATCTTTATCAGTCATTTGCCTTTATAGAGTCTTTGTAATTGAGCACTGTTGAAGGTTCAGTTTCTCCTGCTTTGAAAGCAAAAGTCTGTAGTCTTGATGCTTAATGTTGACAAATTCTTCATCTGCTACTCTATATTATTCTAGCTGAAGGATAAAGCGACAATATTTCTATTGGCCTTATACTTTAAGTAAATAGTAGTCAAGCTGTTGAGGCTCTTACTGTGAGGTAGCTTTAATTTACATTTTCCCAAATTATCACATCTCAAAACATGATCATCTTTGGGTGAAAGTTGTGTCTTTCATGTTGCCAGAGTTGCCAATAATACACATTTCAGTTTTCTATATTTTTTCTTTGGGATAGCGTTGGTTGTGCCAAGTTTGGGACCTGCACCTTTCATGACTTCAGTGGAGAGATACCAGCAGCAGAATTTGACAAGTGCAGAGGGAATATTTACCTCTGGGAAAAAAAAGATCCAGGATTTGCTTCCTGGGATATAGCTTTTATGAATGAATTGAAGTTGTGAAGAATTTCCTTCGCAATTCTGTGTGTGGGTGATGCTGAGATCTTCTAGTAACTAGTGATGAGAAACATTCTGATAACTATGAGAATAACACAGTAATACTCATGTAATAGCTTTGACCATCTAGAATGTGTATCTTAAATCAAATGCTAGTAGTTTTTAATAGTTTCTTCTGATTAGGGCCATTTCCATTTTAGAAGATAAACCTATTTGATGCTACTTGTTCTTATTTCAAAAGGAGGAAACCAGCGCACGTTCGGTAGGAATACATTGTTGCAGGCGTTTTTTTAATATTCAGTATTTGTACGTACATTAACAACTTTTCATGTATTTTCATTCTGCTTTTGTGCAAAATAGAAAATTTATAAGACTGTCATCTCTTTGTAAATGAAAGGTTAGAACTGTTATGAAAAGTGAGTTGATGAGCGTAAGATTTTCTAACCATTTTTGCAATAGCTAGGTAACTATAGTTAGGGTAAGGCAGCTGATAAATTCTGCAGTAGGCTGTAACTTGCCCCAGAACTTGCTGTGATTATTTCTTTGTAAATTGTATCTGCAAATATCTGTGATGCTGACATTGTAGCATCAATCATCAGTGGTGACTTGTGAGGAAGTACATCTCGGGCAAACTGTTTCTCCAGTAAGTTAATTCTCTAAAGCAAAGTGAGTGTCACAGGCTGTCCTTCCCCACCAGTTTCCCTGGTGTCCTCTATGGAAAAGGCTTCCTAAGATCTTTTTTTCTGATTGCAAACTTTATTTTTCTATAGATCATAAAGGAGCTGCAGGTACAGTGATAGTTTGCTGAGTGTAAGTACAGGGCATAAAACTTCCTAAAGTGCCTTTTCAGGAGGTGGCTGTGCAGCCAGGCATGGCACGTGCCGCAGCTGTGATTCCCTGGAACCACTGGTGTTGATGAGAATGTGGTGATTAAATTATCTTGTCTATTGTCTTTGTTAAGACTATGGAAGGATATAATTCATAAAGTTGATGATAAATTACGAGCTTGACTGAGACAATTGTAATTTTATAGGCAACTTGATTAGAAATTTATACAGAAGGTGAATTAAAACTTTAATTATGACCTGCATGCCAGTATATTAATTGAGTGTTGCGGATAGCCACAAAGTTAGCTCTTGCATGACTTGTGTCCAGGAATCCTAAAAGAATGGACAGTCTTTGATTGAAATAAAGCTTGGGAAAAAGAAAAATCCTAATATTTGTTTTAGCACGGTTATTTAATTTTTGGAAGGAGGGATGAGATATACAATTCTCTTTATTGGACTGCTAGCATGAAGGACCACCGGAAGTGTATTAGCCCTTTATGTGACTCCTGTTCATAGACATGAATGTGTTCCAGCTTCACTGCACACACTGCTTCCTCAAAAGGAGGTTGGGAGTGGCTGCGGGTTGTAAAGCGATGATCTTGTATGAACTCATCCTGCTGGTCCCTATTGCCAGCAGACAGTCAAGTGGGTGAACTCTGTATTGGCAGGCCTTCGGCCAGATCAGGTATCATTCCTCATCCCAGAGCTGTCACAAAAGTAACACAAAAGCTGTGTCATCTGCTGTAGCTAATTTGACAGAAAAGCAATAATCTGCCCACATCTGATCTGTGCTTATTTTGTACAACTCTGACTTCCAGAACTACATATGCGTAATACGGTCGTCACCATAGCCAGAGAGTCCTGTACCGTATAGACACTCTGGCCAGTCATGACATAAGGATGCAGCGGCTTAGTTTACAACAGTTCATCGACTGTTAATCCAATCACTCTGTCCTGCTAATCAAATCAGTCAGCTCCAGGAGCATGTGGTGGCAGGCTTACGTTCACTCCCAGGCTAATGCGAATGGAGTAACATTGGAGCTGCAGTGAAGATGAACTCTAGCATTTATACGGTCTATTTTGACATCCTCATCAAATTTGTTTTTTAATAACTGTCTTCCCAAAAGTACTTTCTCCTTCCCAAAAGTACTTTCTCCTTTTACTTTAAGCAAAACTTGGCACTTAACTGTTTTCATGTGTTGTATGCTGCTATATATTAGTTGCATTTTTTAATGTAGAATGCATTTATTTTATTTAAAATAAGAACTATTTGAATACTGTTTAACATTGACTTCTGCAAGATTTTATAAATAGAGGATATAGTCATTCATAAACATTGCTGATTGCTTATGGATGACTGTTTAGGTCCCATTTGTACATGGAACAGTTTCCAATTTAACCAAGGGTGACTGTTCACATGTAGCACATATATGTGTGCAAGACTTGCATTTATTCTAGCTTCAGTCTCTGAATTGGGGAATGTCTACAGTAGTAATTTGGCTCAATTGGAGAAAATCAGTAGAGTGAAGCAGTTGGTGCTGTGACCCCCACCTCTACATATTCCGTGGTGCAGCAGTTTTATTTTGGACTAGATTTAGTGGAGCCTCTCAGGATCAAATATCCATGCCACAACATGGGTTGAAACTGTTCAGAGCTGTTATTTGCTTGGACCTGTGTGCCCCCTTAGGGATTGAAGCATGACCATTGCATTGGTACGTTTCCATTTCCATTTTATATTTCTCCATAAAGAATCCACATCACATACACAAAAACTGGTCTGTGAACAAAACCATTGCACAGTAAGCGGGAACAGTGTGGAGGGAAGAAGGATTTGCTTCTAAATTGCATTATTGCTCTGAATGAAATACTAATGTAAACATAGCCTTCAGCTAACAGAACAGGGTCTTCTCCTATATTTTACAGACAACAGATAGAGTATGAAGTCAAATAGATTCTATTCTGTTAACTTTAAATTAATTTAGCCTGACATGAACGTGAGGACAGAGGCAAACATGGTGGGAATGGAAAATGGATTTATGATAAACAAGGCAGCACTCATTGAATATTTACATGCCTACTTATATGTTTATTTTGCTCATTCTGTTTTTTGTTCCCCCCCCCGACAGCTGTACCTTTAGTTTAATCTCTTAAATCTTATAATAAAGTATGATCTTTTTATATATATATAAAAAACATATATATACACACACACACACACAGAGTATGCCTAATATAGAGTTTACAAATGTGCCCAAATTACAATGCTTTGGACTGAGAACATCCTTTTGAATTTCATGCTTACTTTTATTGATCTGAACTAAAGATCTTTCATTGCAGATTAAGATTGCATGTCCTTTTTCTGACCGCAGCAGAACAAAGAGGTTGCTGTACCTCTCCTGCCCATAGGTGTTTGTTGTCCTCTGCTGAAAGTTGCACGCCTCTTAGATGTGTCAGAAAATACCGCATATGTGGCTGCTCTCCAAACCAGTTATTTCAGGATGCCTACATTAGCTCAGGTATTCTTAATATCTAAACCAGGTCACTTCGACAGAACTACATTAGGGAATAATTACAGAAGAAGTTGTGCTGACAGATGGGGAGGAGCTGTTGTCTCTGAGCACAGGACAGGGAGGAGCAGTTGTGGTGTTGCCATTTTCACCTGGCGCAGCTGTAGCCAAACAGCACTTTGGCCTTCAACCTTATCTTGTTCTTGTCCATTTTTTGAAAAAGTGTAAATGCTAATTTTGCTAATAAAAGCAATTGAAATCAAATTAATAAAATAAAAAGTAATTTTGCTAATAAAAGCAATTAAAATCAAAGTATCTGCTTCCTCAGGGAGAGAAAGCAAACATGAACCAATTCTCACCACATTCATGGAAGGAAGGGAAATTTACCATTTTACAGATGGGAAAGCTCAGATATAATTCTGGTGTGTGGGATTATAATTTGGGCACTCCACTGTTGGATTATACCTCTGAGCAGCGCGTTGTTTTTCTGTCAGTTTTTCTGCTGGCTCAGTTTTTGAGTGTCATTGGTCAGTACCCCATGTGGGGAAAGTGATAACTTAGCATGCTAAAACAAACTGAGAGATGTTATCTTTTGCCATCCAGATAGTTTGCCTGATAATTTTTCCTCACACTGGTTTTATCTTTCCTTTTTATATAATTTTCCATTTTGTTTTGATTCTTCTACAACACTTGAAAACTAACCATTAGCGGCAAATCCTGGCAGTACAGAACCTTTTAATTACTAAAATTAAATAATACCACGTGGCAGAAGGCATTGGACACTGTAGAAATGGTAGTTGGCACGAACTAGTTGTCGCCAGCATTATGATTATGGCAAAGGATGTGGTCTTGTTCTTCCCCTGGTGCTTAGGAGCACTCTGCCAGTTTTTAACTCTCGGAACTAACTCGGCATAAGAGCAGAAAAGCACCTGCTCAGCTCCAGGGTAACAATAGCGGGGGGAGAAGCAATACTGCCTGTGTGGATGTTACCTAGCTGTTCCAACGGGTTAGCTGTATCATCAAATTAGGGGGAAAATCATGTGTCAGGAAGTAGGAACGTAGACCTTTTTCCCCACCTAGTTACATTATTTTTTTTCATTTTAATATTCAGATGTAAGTCGTTAGTGTCTTCTAACATAAGACTTTGAGGTGTCTCACACTGTATTTCATGTCATGTCACCACCGTATACCAAAGTAGAAACGGATGACTTTGGACAAGCTTTTTTTTTCAGTAGGAAAAGAGGAGAAGCACAGGTTTGTCGTCTCTGTTTTTGCCATGAAAGACTTTAAATAAACCACCAGTTCAGGATGGATATTCCTATTCCTGTTCTATACTCAAACCCTGTGCGCATTGTGGAAGCATTCCAGTTTCCTCTTCCCAAATCTGGATGAGAAACACTTATGTAGCTGTTATCATCAGCAAAAGTATTGAGGCAGAATATTCCTGAGCAGTTTTTCAAGTGGTCCTAGGGGAGTTAGACTAATCAAGCTGAGGCAATCCAAAAAGCCCCTCACTAAAGCTCTGAAGCCACATGACAAATTGTGTATCACAGGTTAATTGCTATAATTTTTGTGTTGTAAATAAAATAGAAATAAGATATTAGGGGGAAAATCTTTTAATCAAAAAGAGCAATGTCAATGTAGGTTTTGTTGCAGGCTTGGACAATATAGCTAAATATAACTGTTTTCTTTATGCATTTCTGTTTGCTCTCTAAATCATTGGGTTAGGAATGGATTTTTGCATCTCCTGTTCTAGACTTCATCTGTTATCTCTGCAAGATATCTGTTTTTTTGGATGAGAGGGATGGCTTCCTACTTGAAAAGGACATGTCCTTAATGGGTGGCCTTTCAGTACTTAAAAACGTTAGTAGAACTTTGTGCCCAGTAATCGATGCTGTTTGCATCGAAGATTTCCTGCTAGAAAATAAAAGTACCTTCCTAGTAGTAGAGATCTTTCTCTGAGAATCATATTTTTTAAATCTATTTTAGAAGGTTGAGAGAGGGAGAGAGGATAAGCAAGACTATTGCAGTAACTGCTTTTTTGACAATATATCAAGTTTGCTTCATGAGTTTGTTTTTATTTTTTAATTTAACATTTCTGGCTTAATACTTGAAGGACTTTTTACTCAGTCTCTGCTGAAAAAGGTTCGAAAGCATATTTCTCCATAGTGGCTTTCTTATTTGGGATGGCATTTTTGTTAAGATGTTCTTAAATGTAGTCTCGTGGAAAAATAATAGTTTCATTTTTCTAGCTGTATGTTTTTTTAAGTCCAGTGACTTTACTAAAAAGTGAAATAACCACAATAAAAATAGTTTTAATGTATTTTAACATTTTAAATAATATGTGGACAATTTATATTGCGTTACTCTCTATAAAATGTATCGAATTGTGCAACTGAATAACAAGGTAAAGGTGGAGCTAGTCTGACAGTTTGTGTTTGGTTTTTATTTGTGTGGTGGTGTTGTGGGGGTTTTTTGGGTTTTTTAAGACCTATGCAAACGGAGCTATGCAACATCCTAATGACAGGACAGCATAGTACACCACCTGCAGTGTACCACATGAAGTTCTAGGATGTCTAGTTATATTGCTGCTGAGATTATAATAGTAGTAATCATTTAACCTCACTGTTGAAAACCAGGCAGTACATTATGATAACATGCCACATATAAAACTGAGGTGCACTCTTAAGAGAATCTGTTGTCAACAGTCATATGACTTGGTAATGACATACATACCTGTGTTTTCCTTCCGTCCTTCCAAATTGTTCTGTAGATGTTCCATTCGGTTAAAAGCCACGCCAGTAAATGTTACTGGTCTTCAGAAGTTCTCCTAGGTATGTGTGATCTTAGCTTACATGCGTGGTTGTTGTTCATGAGGGGCTAAGCACTAGGGCTAGTAATTAGTAAGTGGTAGTCCCATCCCATTCCTGCCCCCCCCCTTTTTTTTTTTTTTTAAATAACCAAAAGGAAGTTAAGATGGGGAAGAAAGCTGTATCGGTTCCATAACTGAAATGAAGTGGGCTGGAGGATTTACCAGAAGGAGCAGCCTGGGTAGGAAAAATGAAATAAAAAGGGGAAATCCCGAGACTAGCCTTGCACTTAAGTCTCTTTTTCTGTGAAAGAATTCCCTTTCTGCAGGACTAGCATGACTGGCATGAGTTTTGGTACAAGGCATGAGCCTCTGTCCCTGCAGCTGCTGCTGTCTGCCCTGTCTGCTTTACCCCGGTGCCTGAATTCCTCTAGCCTGTGGGTCCCACGTGCAGTTGTGGCATGTGCATGCTTAATACTTGTGACATAAATATCATCTCTATTTGCAGATAAGTGAGGCATGGTAATTTGTTCAAGTATGTGTATCAAAGACTCTGGCCAAAACAAGTTCTCTGTTTTCACAAGAAGAACAGCCTCTAAAAAAAATCTTCTGTGTTTGCCCCAATTTCTGAGCTGTACCGTATTGTCCCTGGTAACTAAAGGATAGCTCACTGTAAGTAAGAGATTCTCGCATATGCCTTATGCTAAGCAAGCAAATTATTCAAACAATATCAAATTGATAAGTTTTGTAAGGTAAACACACTGTGTTTATATAGCATATTTAAACATGATCTCTATATTCAGACAGGGAAAACCTATCCACATTGAAGTTGGTGTCAAAACTTTGCCGGGGCCAGTGCTGATTGTCAACTGTAATATGTCATATTCAGATTCTTGTGCATGCAAAATACTTACTGAAGAACAATTTGGTATTTTAGAACGTCTTTTATGAGATGGAAGTGACTATCTGAAGTTTAAAGAGAGGAATTTCCAGTCAGCAGTGAAAGACTGTAAGCTATAGAGCTACAATACAGAATTACAGAACTACAAGAGTATTTTTAAATCTATCTACACTTAACAAATTATTTGCATGCAAATTGCTCACTTGAGTTGTATATCTGCCCATGCCTAATGTTTAATTTTCCTTTTTAACAGGTAGAGAGAATTGTTGACAAGAGGAAAAACAAGAAGGGAAAAACAGAGTATTTGGTGCGATGGAAAGGATACGACAGCGAAGATGATACTTGGGAGCCAGAACAGCACCTTGTTAATTGTGAGGAATATATACATGAATTTAACAGACGCCACAATGAAAAGCAGAAAGAAAGCACATTAACCAGGACAAACAGGACCTCTCCAAATAATGCCAGAAAACAAATTTCTAGATCTACCAATAGCTCTTTTTCAAAGACATCCACTAAATCTTTAGTTATGGGTAAAGACCATGAGTCAAAAAATAATCAACTCTTTTCTGCCACCCAGAAATTCCGGAAAAACAATTCACCATCTCTTTCTGGAAGGAAAAATATGGACCTTGCAAAATCAGGTATTAAAATCCTAGTGCCCAAAAGTCCAATTAAGAGTCGGACAACAGTTGATGGCTTCCAGAATGAAAGCCCGGATAAAATGGACCATATAGAGCAGGATCAAGAAGACTCTGTAGCACCAGAAGTAGCAGCAGAGAAACCGGTGGGAGCTTTATTAGGACCTGGTGCAGAGCGTGCTAGGATGGGGAGCCGACCAAGGATACATCCATTAGTGCCACAATTGCCAGTGCCAGTAACAGCCACAATTGCATCAGCATTAACAATAAATGGAAAAGGTATGTGTACGAGTCGGTCATTTTTGTGTACGTTTTTCATTCGACTGATCTTTTTTACCGTTCAGATGCAAACAAATTACCCACTCTGTTTCAGCCATGTTAAATCAAGTCTGGAGAACTTCACAACTTTATTTTACATAACTATATGACTACAAAGCCATTTCGAATTTTGCCAGCTTTTGCTTTCCTCGCAGAGATTCATTGGTATTTGTGTTTTCAGAATCACCATAAGATACATCTGTGTTTGCCTTGACATTGTGTGGTACGCATATTCCGTGTACCACTTCCAGAGATTACATCATTGCTTTAAGTTTCTTTAAATAGGTCAAATTTGTTATGAATATTAGAAACATAAATTACGGGAATAGATGAATGATGTGAACAAGGATTCTTCATAACAGTATACATATCCGTTTTGTTTTAAATATTGCCTAGAAAAAAAACTATGAGAATGATGTTGCTTAAAAAACAAAGTTGATAAGTTTTGTTTCAGTGAAAGTTTGAGCCAGTTGTGGAGATACATATGCCTTCTGCCTGGATTGAATTCTGTCTTCATTATATTTTATCAATATTTTGTTGTTTATACCTCATTTGGTATTGAGAGCTTATTTAGGTTTGATGCCTGGTTTGCTAATATCTCATTAGACGACAGTTTCTTCAACTGGTACTGCAAAATTTGTGACACCAATGAAGCCCAAACTGCTTTCGTGGGAGGAAGCTGTTTGTTCCTCCCACCCAGCTGAGACCCTCATTTAAGGCTTCACGGTCCTCATTCGTATGCCCCAAACTTTTGTTCTTCCCTGACAGGCCCAGGTTGTTGTGTAGTCACAGGTGTTCTCATAAGCATGCTTTTGAGGCTAAATTTTCAAGTGTAATATTGCACGCTCAAATAAAATGCAGTGTGTAGAAACTGTAGGTATGCTATTGATGATGGCTTGCTGGAAAAATTGCTTGAAAACCAAGGACTGGGCCTGCCAAAAACCACACTTAGAGACAAACGATATAGGAAAAAAAAAATGTGTTGAAGACTTTGGGAGAGTTTGTTGGATGCCCCACTGTCGCTTGCATTCAGATTTTCTGAAAACACAGCTGCACTGGGAGAGGTTGCAAAGCAGTGGACAAGGGAGGAACCCGCTCCTGGAGCTGCGGTGTCAGGTCATGGACCAACCCATTTTGCTGCAGATGAACTAGGTAACCATGGTAATACACACACAGCTGCCAGGAATATCTCTTCCTTTGCATGGGCTAATGAAGGAATGTAAATCTCAGAGGATGTAAACAAAGCTGGAGGGGGAAATGGAAGAGATGCCAGTGTGAGTTTTCTGAGTAGGTGAGGTAGAGGAATGTGTTTGCGCGTATGATGGTTTTGTGATAATTGATATGTGTTTTGGAGTATGGTCATGTTCCTAGTGAAGTGATTGATAAGTGCTGCCTTCGGCGTCCCGTTTTTTGCCTCATGGCATTCAGAAAAATAATTAGGACACAAAGGCCTCTCTTGGGTAGATCAGCAGCCACAAATGATTAAAACACTCCCACCAACCTTTCACTCTGGTAATAGTGGTACAGCGAGGGCCCAGTCACGGGGCATCAAGTGGAAGTGGCAAGACCTGCATAGGAATGGTAGTGACACATAAAATATTAGCTGAGGTGCATTTATCTGTTTCACTGAGATGTTACAATTCCCTCAACTGCCTCCTTCAGCTCTTCTTAGGCATTTGTCTGAGCAACGAACATTGAAAGCTATCGACTGACCCTAGGGAGGATGGCAATGTGAGACTTTTTCTCACACGTAGGTTTTCACAAGATCTTAAGGTGCAGATCAAAAAAAAAAGGAGAGCCAAGGAGGTAGTCACAATATGTGGTTGCCCAAAACTACACAATATGTTTCCGCCTTCTGTCTGCTGCTGGAGGGATATTAGTTCAAGTACATTAACTGAGGCTTTCCTTCTCTGTCCTGATACACCGCTGCCAATCTCCAAGCTGAGCTGTGCAGTCTGCTGGGAAATGGATGCTAAATATCCAAATTTATTACGGCTTTGCAGGCAGTTACGCTGATCTACAACATTTTTGGGGGTAACATCCAAATCATGCAGTAATTCTCTGATTATAAAACTTGGAAACAAAGCTGCAAAAGAAAAATACTTTGTGTTTATATCTGACATCAGTCTCTTTTCCTAGCTTCTTAGGATTTCTTGGACAGATATCTTTCTCACGGGAGCCCAGGCTCCAATTCTTCTGTTCTGCATGGCCAGAGTAGACCTTTATTTAGAGAGAAGCCAAGAGAGGCAGCCCTGTCTCCTAGAGCTAGCCTGGCCTTGGAGCTTCCTGAGCTGACACATACTCCGTCTCTTCATTAAAGCTGTGCTCTTCTCCTTGCTGTTTTTATTTTTAACTTCACACTGCTATTCATTAAAATGTAGTAAATCGATGCTTGCTTCCCTCCCTCCCCTGCATGGGGTTGTCACGGTCCTGGATCCTGTTTCACTCCTTACTCAGGACATTCCTTCTGTCTTAAATGGACACTTCATCACATTTTCAACACCACTTCGGGAATCATACATCATGAGAGGTATTCATTGTACAGAAACGCCGTCAAATTCGTACCCTCATCGCTGGCTCTTCATACGCACCAGATCTGACATATTAATAATACAGATGATAGATCTGGCATTTGGAG